TAAACTAGTAAACTATGAAATCAACTTACTTGAAATAACTGGCTGTTTCTTGTCATAGACAGGTATCTCTCCATATTTGGTTTTTATTTTGTATTTGACTTCTTTTTGTTGTTCCTGCTCTTTCTTCACTTTAACTTTTTTGTCCTTTTCTGGTCTTATTCCATGAGTCACCCCCTCCATCTCTGCCACAGTCTGAAAGAAATTATGTATGTCACATTTAGTACATCACAGATAATATTGACTTTAAATTGTTGTTTATATGCAAATTAATGTGTTTAAGGCAAAGCATGGAAACTGACAAAAGTAAAAGTAATATGAACATCATACGCCTAGTTGGAAACAGTGCTTAATGTTCATGGTATCAACGTGTACATTACGATGAAATCTTATACAATTTTCGCAATAATTTTAATACTTACAGCACAAGACTTCCAAACGACATCAATCACTTTCTTCCTAAGAGCAAACAACTGTTTTAGTGCCAGTTCTCCCTGCAGCCTCTGAGTTGCCACAAACTCCTTCAAGGTCAAGGTCACGGCCTTGTTGACCTTGACCAGGCAAATGGCTGCCTCACCAGAGCCAAACCCTGTCAAGCTGCCGGACGCCGCCTCACAGAGAGATTGTACATGGAGGACACAGCCTTGCAAGACTTCATTGGCACAAAATAATTGCTTTGTTAAGATTTCCCTGGAAATTTAAAAACAGTTCTTTAACGAAATGTCTTGTGCATCAATATAAACTGCTACGCCAGAAAATGAAAATTGCAATTATATGCTAAATCATATCTGTATATATCATTATTGAAAACACCACTGATGAGCAAAAATTATATAAAGACAATATCATTAACAAACAGTTCTATTATTCCTATTTCCTCTTTCTGTCTGGGCATACACATACTAGTACTTACAGACTGTTTGTAGTCTTGTGATTTCTCACATTGTTTTTCCACAAGGTGTAAGCCTTCCATATCCTGTACATTAAAAATATGCTTTGCTATGAAAAATATTTTCATTAAAACATACTTTTTGAATTGCCAATTGATTTGTTTTTATATGAGGAAAAGTAAGATTATGTTTGAATAAACCATATCAACAAAGGATAACTATCAAAATAAATCAGTAAGCTCCCTGATATTCTTTCTCACATTTTGTCATATGAATAAATTACAGGGGTATATTCTTATTAATTCATTTATGATCAATCTTCAAACCTGAAGTTGTTGAGGACAGGGAGGTCGTAGATCATGTCAAACAGCCTCTTCTCCCACAACCATAACATCACTGGGGTGACAAATGTCTCCTCTCCATTGGGGGTCTGGATGCACTACACAAACAGAAACAGTGAACATTAAACTACTACGATTACTGACAGGACTTGAGACAAATAAGGATTTGAAAGATTGCAATATATTTTGGAAACATAAGGATTCATTCATTTTATACAAAAACTGCCTAATATGATGCCCTAATGAATTTGAAACCAAAACATCTGAATTTAATCAAAGATGGTTTCAATCAGATAAGAGTAAAATATTCAATTTTTACTTCCATCTATCAAAATTAAATAACATTAGTAAGAAATTTGAGCCATGCTACAAAAAATTGTAAAGCAACAATCCTGCTGAAATGTCGAACGCCAGTACCAAGCAGAAAACCTTGAGTATCTAAGCCAAATGACTAAATTTTTTCTGTGTTGGTAAAATAGTAAAATCAAAATAGCACTGAAAGCTCAAAACCAAAATCATAATTGCATTCAACAC